AAGTACTTTATATTGTCCTTGCCCGACCAAGCTTATCACTAAAATTGGCAACAAGTCTCCCTCCTTGAACAAGTACCGCCCTAAATCCAACTCCACTATTAACACATTCAACCTCAAAGGGTTAGTCGAAATTTGGAAGAGCCAAGATTGGAGACTCACACAACTTCTTCTTGAGAGTCTTAAAAGCCCTTTGAGCCGATGGTGTCCACTAAAAAGTTCCCTTCTTTATGCATTCGGTGACCGGAGCAAAAATAGTGCTAAAATTCTTCACAAATCTTTGATAGAAAGAAACTAGGCCATGGAAACTTTTAGCTTGGGCTAGAGTGGTAGGAGTAGGCCAAGAATGAATGCCTTCCACCTTACTAGGGTCCATTGAGATCCCTACATTATCACATAGCTAAGAAAAACAACACTATCCACCGTAAAAGCACATTTTTCTAACTTGGCAAAAAGCCCCCTACTTCTCAATGTTTCAAATACTTACTTCAAATGTTCAACATAATCAAGTTCACATTTGCTATAACAAGCATATCATCAAAATAAACAACAACAAATCTACTAATAAAGGGGTGAATTACCTCATTCATGAGTCTCGTGAAAGTGCTAGGAGCATTTGAGAGCCTAAAAGGCATTACAAGCCACTCATACAAGCCTTGCTTTGTCTTAAAAGCAGTTTTCCATTCATCTCCTTCATGCATGCAAATTTGGTTGTACCTTATCCTCAAGTCAATCTTTGAAAACACCTTGCAACCATGAAATTCATCAAGCATATCATCAAGTTAGGGAATATGAAAACGATATTTGATGGTAATATTATTGATAGCCCTACCATCCACACACATCCTTCATGTACCATCCTTTTTCGGAACCAAAATAGCCAGAACCGATAAAGGGCTAAGGGATTCCCTCACAAATCCTCTTTCCATCAACTCATCAACTTGTCTTTGAAGTTCTCCTGCTTCATCGGGGGTACACCTATAGCCGGTCTATTAGGGAGTTGTGATCCCGGAATAAGATCAATTTGATGCTCAATTCCCCTAATAGGTGGTAAACCAGGTGGGAGATCATCGGGGAAAACATCTTGGTACTTAACCAAAACTTCCTTGACGAGGGGGTGGATTGGGTTCTCTCATTCACTCTCTTGTGTTTTCCTTAGAAGACAAATAAAGACAATTTTCCCTTAATTTATCTCCTTTCCCATCTCATATTCCCCAATGAGAAGGTTCTCTTTTATTGTGTTTCCCATACCCAAGGATTCTTTGTGTTTAATTGTGGGGGGTAAGGGGTTGAGTACAATCTTCTTCTTATCCATCATGAATGAATAAATGTTTTTCTTCCATCGTGCAATACACTTCTATCAAATTACCAAGGCCTTCCAAGTAAAAGCATCCATAGGCAACACATCTCAAAGCACATCATCGTTATACAATTTGCCAATTGAAAAAGAAAGAAGAGTTTGTTTTGTTACCTTCACCTAATTTTGATTGTTAAGCCATTGAAGCTTTTAGGGAGTAGAATGATTGGTAGTGTCAAGATTGAGCTTTCTCACTGGTGTTGTTGAAGCCACATTAGTGCAAGAGCCACTATCAATGATAAGGTTGCAAACTCGATCTTTGATGGTGCAACGAGATTGGAAAATGTTCTCCCTTTTCTCTTCTGCCAAAGGAGTGGAAATGAAGTGAAGTGCCCTTATAACAACAAGGATTTGACCCTCATCGGCTTCTACTACAACCTTATCCTCCTCATCATATATAGGATCCTCGAAATCCGTCTTCTCATCTTCGTATTCATCATTATCCATTTCACGAATCATCATAGCTTCAATATTAGGACACTCAATAGAAAAATGTCCATAGTCTCTACACTTATAGCAAACCTTCCTATTGCTCATCTTGTTTTGGTCATCCTTGCTAGAAGAATGCATGGGAGCCTTGCCTTTGTCATCCTCGGCAATAGGCTTGCTTGCATTGTCTCACCCTTCGGAGCAAAAAGATTCTTGAAGGTAGGTTTAGAATACCCACTAGCACTACTTATCTTGTCATACTTCTCAAACTTCAAAGTCTTTTGCACAACATGATCAAAACTTCCATGGGCATGAACATTAACCTTTTTCCCAAACTTTCTCTCAAGACCACCAATGTACCTAGCAATTTTATGCTTTGGGGCTTCTTCAATTCCACTCAAAATACAAAGCTTTTGAAACTCACTAGTATATATACTTCTCTACCAGCATAGCACCTTGCTTGAGAGCATTCAATTTATCTCTAGGCACAAAAGCTCTATTCATATGTTTCTTCAATTTCACCCAATAAGTGATTTTTGATTTTCCATCTTTCCTCCTACGATTTTTTAAGTTCTCATACCACAAAGAAGCATGTTTTATATTTTGAAGGATAGCCAATTGAAAATGTTTTTCATCATTATAACCCTTATACTCAAACATATTCTCCATACTTCTAACCTAATCAAGAAATTCATTAAGATCAAGATTACCTTCAAAATCCGGGAATTCCATCTTGGTGTCTTAGTCACGATTGTCCTCATGGTGTTGTTGGTGGTGTTCCCATCTCCAGTGAGGAGAGTAAGAACCATCTTCTCCACTTGGACTTCTCCTTCTTCTAGGGCTTCTTCTATTCTCCAAGACTCCTAGAATTCTATCAAACTTCCTTTCTAGAGCATCCAAGCTATAGTTCTAATTGTAACTTTAATTATCTTCACAAAAGTATCTATAATCCATGTTTCAAGATTGGAAGTTTGTATCATTGAGAGAAAAAATTCAAATTTTGTGGGGAAAAAGGTGAGATCTTTTTAGAGGGGGGAAGAGAGATTCAAAGGGCAGGATCTTTTTAGGCTAATAACCTAGGCTCTTAATACCAAATTGATATGAAATGACCAAGAAAAACCAATTTTCAATCCAAACTTCAATGTTCAAGATGTAATTTGAGAGAGAGCAAATAACAAAGATAAATTCTTATGACATCAATCACCATGTTTGATGCAATAAGGATTTAATCAAATCCTAACACAAAGTAGGTCAAATATTAGAGGAGAAATCACATAGATTTCAATAATCACAAAGATTATGGGTAGAGAGAGAAAATTTCATGAGATTCAATATTAAGCAAAAGTTGTTCTAAAAAGTAAGCTTAGCCATATTTAAAGGCTTTAAAAACAAACCCTAAAGTTCATAAATTATACCCTCTTGGATTACAAATGAAAGGCCAAGATTAAATCAAGCTAAGAAAAACAAAAAGAAAGAACATAGCCACTATGAAACAGGGGTCTTAGAGTGGTCGCTGTAAAGGGTTGGAACGGTCGCTCCTCTCGAATAAAGCGGTCGCTCCATAGAGGGGAGCGGTCGCTCTAAAGCTTCTGACAAAAATCCTAATTCCAAATAGAGCGATTTCTCTAAAGCTTCTGCCAAAAATCCCAATTCCGGATGGATCAGTCGCTTTAAAGAGTGTAGCGGTCGCTCCAGCGGTTCTGCCTGGATAGTTCAATTTCAAACGCTCATAACTTCTTCTTTTCTTGCTCAAATTGGGCATGTGACCTGTCCTTGGACATTAATTTCATCTCCAATTTTAATCACTTGAATATTTTATAACCAAGAAGATATGGCTGAAACAAAAACCTCGTCCGAGAACTTGTATAGAGAAGGATTTCCCGCGGCGCTCCGAGACACTTATACAGTACTGAAAATCCCCTCTAATGTTGTCTAAGTGCCTTTCTCGTGTGATGAAGTAGTTGCGTGATACATTGATAAGTTTCTTTCTTGGCTAACATATGGAATCCTTGGAGCTTTATTCTAAGCAAACAAAAGTTACTTGAGTTTGATGATAGTCAACCCTGAGAGGTGACCACCAAGGAGTTTAGCATGGCAATGTGTCACAACATTTGGCACTTCTTCAACTTCCTCCACCAAGTTCCATGCACCTGCATCAGTTTTAGTGGGAGCTTCATTAATTGGTTTTGAGCGTCTTAAGCTTTTATTATGCTTATTATTAGGTTAGTTCACATGATTGGATAATCCCTTGACCAGTTTTAATTAGGCATGTTAATTGGATTAACAACCTAAGTTAGTAACTAGTGCTCGCTTGTTTGATACTTCCTCTGTTCATTTTTACTTGACCCGCTTGGACTTTTACACTATTCACCATTCCTCCTTTGACCGTCTTTTGTAAATAATAGGTAAGGTATAACATATTCATGTGGGATCTTTTAAAATTCGTCTCAATAAGTACTATCATAATATATAACTTTTATAATTTTTAGTTATGGAGAATTAAAGTTATTTATCGTTAAAATTTTGCATTGGCAAACGTGATAAAAAAAACAGGTCAAGTAATAAATAACAGAGGAAGTACAAGTTTTGTAATTTTGCTCGTATTGTTTGTAAAAATTGCATAGGCCATTCACTTTAGAAGTGAATAAGTGAATGGAATATTATAAATATCTTTTATGCAGGTTTTACAAAAAGTGACTAGTATGGCCCGACTAGGATAGAAAATACGGACTGCGTTCCGTTACGTATTTTTGTAAATCTAAATACGGACTGCATGCAGTTAAGTATTTTTGTACTTAATTAATTTAGATTACTCCTAGTTTCTGGTTCTTGCATGCTTAATGGTTAAGTCGTACACAAATTGACTTACTTTCAACCATGGGAGTTTGCCCAATGGGTGTGGAGTGATGTAATCCCTCCTCGCATTTTGGAAATTTTTTCGGTTGATCTAGATGGATTTTTTTTCAAAAAAAAAAAAAAGTATTAAAGTTGTCACTTCCAAAGTTATTCACTAATAATTTTCTGTTTTACACAGATCACTAATCAACTCATACAATTAACTAACTCATACAATTCTACACTTGCTAGTTTGCAACTGTATTTATAATAAAATGTAGGTAACCGTCAGCTGATGTTAAAACCGCAAAGGTAACACTATCTATACACATGCATAGTTCACACTTCACATGACACAATTAATTTGCCATAATGACCACGACAAAAGAGTCATCCTAACTACATTTTTTTATTTGAGGAAAACTCATCCTAACCACATTTAAGACATGACAATTTGTAATTGACTTATATTACCATACTTTCCTTTCGTTTGTTGTAAACTTAGTTAATTAATGTAATTTCAGCCGTTTTCAAAATTTTAAAAAAAAAAAAACGAACAAAAAAACTTACAAACAAATTATACAAGATTTGGCGTGTGAAGATAAGATTTGAGAAATTGAAGTGTAAAGATAAACTAATACTCCGTATTTTTTAAAACAGATTTACTCTAAACTCTTAAAAGGTTTACTCTGCCCTTTAATTGGACGATCGTATAAAGACTCAACCCATTTATTTATTAGACGGATACAACCCAATAATAACTGTGGCGGGTCATGGGTCATGGCTTTTAATAGGGATCCAAGGCGTCCAACCCATTGAATTGCTCTATTGAAGCGCATTCGACGTTCTCCATTGAAGCGCAGTTGCCGTTCTCCGTTGAATCTAGTTCTTGTATCCCCCATGGAAGCAGCTTCTGAGGTAAGTTGTTTGTATTTGTTATCATCATATCAAATATCCCTAAAATTATGAGATAATTGAATCAAATATCCCTAAAATTATGGGATAATTGAATCAAATTTGGTTGCTAATGTATTGCACAACACTTTAATGTTAGGATTCAACTATGAAATCAGAGCTCTTTTCCCTGGGCTCTGGGCTGCCGCCCCTCCTGCCCTTCCTCAGGGACGGGCCTGGAAAGGGAGGTTTATGGTGGTTGGGAGGGTTGGTTTTGGGGATGGGTTGGGTGGTTTCGACGTAGTGAGTGTGATTTCCCTAGGCTGTTTCAGAAACTAGCAATTACGTCCGAATAACATGTTTCAACCCCAAACTACCACCTTGAGTGTCATGTTTCAGTCAAATATTACTTGCTATTGTGAATTAAATGATTCCCAATGTCTCCCTAATAATGGTTTTAAATTCTAAGCCTCCAAATCTCCAATGGTCTAATTATTGTGAAAGCTCACAACATTGGAATCAAATTTGCATCGTGCTTATCATGGCATAATCTGCGATCAACATGTCATACCATGACTGTACCCGTGATCTCAGCCAATTTATATTTTCGAACCATGTTCATGCATAACAAAATTTAATCTCTATGAATTGGGTAAAGGGGCTTTGTTTTTCATACAGAGAATGGTAGCTAAGTCACTAGTTTGTTGGTTTGTAGATATTTCATTTCAGGAGCAATAGTAGATAGTTCCATTCCATTTGCATTTATCAGCAGCATGTATATGTTCTCGCGCGCGCGTGCGCGTGCATGTGTGTCTGTGCGTGCGTGTGTGTACATGAGTGACTAGATTTTCCATTTGCTTCTTTTATGTAAATGAGTGACTAGATTGTCCTGGAGTTTGCTTATATAAAATGCTAGACAAAGTTTCAAAATAGCTCACCAGTGTTAAGGGTTGATGGTCCCAGAACTCTTGTGGGATTTCTTTTGTGGGAGGGGTTGATAGAAAGATCCAAACAGAGTAAGAAAGGAGATCTTGGTTCTTTTACTAGAAAGGATTTTCAAGTGATATGAGACTAGTATAGTTTTTTCTGTGCTTAGAAACAGTATCATTCTTCCGTGACTACTTTCTAATTGGTGCTGAAGAAGTCATATCTCTGAATCTATTCAAATCAAAGAATGTCTTGATGATAACGAACTTCTTGTTTTTGCCTGTTTTGTGCGATTATTCTTAATTGTTGCTGGGTGACCTGTTTTAACTTTTCCATTGACCTTTGTTTGTCGAAGGAAAAGGTTATTTCATTTTCTCTGTTGTAGTTGTGGTCTTTTATAATTGTTTGGTTTCTGGCTGTTGTGTCTTCTTTCAGTAATTCTCTTGTTTCTTTGTCCCTTTAAAATATATGACACGTCAATGTTTGGCAGGATATTGACATGATCACAGAAGTACAAGAGTTACAGAGTTTTAACTCTCAGGAGCTCAGTAAGCTGTTAAAGGACTCTGAAAACTTCTCGCTTATCCACATTACAGCAAATGGTTTATCTTTGCAGGTCAGTTGACTATCTTAATTCTCACATTTTTATGAAAGGTAAATAAGAAAATAAGATAGTTGGGTTTGGTTGATTAAAACTGAATAGAAAAAACAAGAAACAAGATGGGGTTTGATTGATTAAAAGTGATTTAAAAAATAGATTATAAGTGAATAAAAGGTGGGGTTTGGTTGATTGCAAAAGTGACTAAAAAAATAGAGGTGAAATGAAACTTTTATATAGGGACAAGATTATTAGGTGGAGTGAGACTTTTATTTGGGGACAAAAGGAGTAATATTTATGACCTCCCTTGGTTTTAAATTGTACTAGGACATTTTAAAGTTGGCCTCAAATTAAGGTGTGGCTCAATTCTCTTCATTAAATTCTATTGTATATTTTATATCCTTAAAAAAGAACTGAAGGTAGGACTACATCGAAATGTACCATAATAAGTATTGGTTTTGTCAAGTGACATACTTTATAAAACAATTCTAGAAAAGTTACAAAAATGTAGGGGATTTTTTTCTCCTTCTATTTTGGTCACTTTTGTGGATCAGGATATTTAAAGCAGTTTTTCTCAGATTGATATGGATAAACTCGTTCGACTTCTTCCTCCGCACCTTACTGCTGTGCTTTTGTCCTCTCAAGGAGATGAAGCCTCTTTGAAATATTTATTATCAGGACTCCGGCTTCTATATTCTTTATGTGAAATAGCTACTCGACATTCTAAGCTTGAACAGGTCAGTAAAATTTTGGCCAATATGTAGCCTTTCAATTGTATACTCCTTTGTCCCATATAAATGTTTTTATTGACTACTTTAAGAGGTGCCTATTAATACTTCCAATTGCTAATTAACCTGTGATTTCATTGTCATTTTATGTCGAATAGCCTTTATGGGCTTTGAATGCAGTTATTAAATATGCTTCAATTACTATAGCAAAATTAGTTTTGTCAAATAAACTCTCATGTTACCATATTAATGGTTTGTCTTAATCCATGTTCTTTGTTGATTAAAATTATTTATTTATATGGAGGAGATACTTCCTTTCTTTCATTTGTTCTTCACTATGCACGTTTGCCGATGCATAGTTTTGACTATTAATATCATTAATCATGTGTTGGTGAAAATTATATATCCTTGTAGCATTTATTGTGACGAATTACTTCCTCCGTTAACCGTTATTTGCAACATTTACCCAAAAAGGGTGCTAACTATTATTTGCAACATTCCCAAATCTTTCTATTTTTAGTAATTTTTTTTAAATAAAATTACAAAAACACCCTTACTTAAAATTTTATAACATCAATTACATACTTAAAACATAATTGATTAAAAACTAATCTAATCTAATTAAACTTATTTTATATCATTCAATAATCATCAATCCTTCATCATCTCTTCATCTTCCCCATTATCTTTCTCTCTCCTCCATCATCTTCTTCCTCTTCCCTCATAATCTATTTTCTCCATCTTCATCCTCTTCAACATTAACTTTTTCTCTCCTCCTTCAACCACTTTTCATGAATTGAAGAAGAAAGACACTCAATTTCACATCTGGAGAAATGGTGGGTTTCGGATCGAGGTTTGTGGGTGGTGGGTTAGGCGGTTTCGGGTTCGAAAGGTGGGTGGTTTAGGGTGGCGTCGGTGGTGGTTTTGGGTACAAAAGGTGGTGGTTTTGGGTTCGTGGGGTGGTTTGTTAGGTTTCTATGGTGGTTTTGGGCGGTGGTTCGAAAGGTGGTGGTTTTGGGTTCGTAGGGTGGTTCGTGGTGTGTGGTGGTTTTATGGGTTTCTGTTGGTGGTTTGCTGGGTTCGTGGGTGGTTTGTTGGGTTTCGGTGGTGAAGGTTGGGTTCGTGGTTGGGTTTTGGTGGTGTTTCGGGTTCTGAGGGTCGACGGGTTTGGTGGTTCTGATTGTTGTCGGTGGTTTTGGCGGTGGTTCTGGTTTTGGGTTTTTGTGGTGGTGCTGGTTTTGTTTAATTGTTTTATTTTTTATTTTTTTTATTATATATGTAGGATTAATACTTAATTACATGCCCTTATATTTCAATAATCATGCTTTAAAAGTTTTGCATTGGCCTCCGCGAAAGGTACCATTGTTGCAAATAACCGTTAACGGAGGAAGTAATAGGATCCCACTTTACTACTCTCTCTCTCTCTCTCGCTCTTTTTTTTTTTGTCTTATTTGCTCTTTGGTTCGTTTCTATTGCAATATTGTAATTTAAATATCTCAAGCTGCGTATTATAAAGCTTGCATGTTTAGAAATAAAATACCAAGACGAAGTTAACAAGATACCACATGACTATGTTTTGAAGTATAAAAAAGTCATTAAAGTGCAATATTCCATTTGCTTTGAATAGTAGCAAGATTCCATTTTGGACAAACATAAAAAACAGAGGGCGTAAGCGGGTACCGGGTACCCGGTGTCAGGTACTTAAAAAATCGGCCCATGACCCGACTCGAGAAAATTCGGGTACCCGAAAGATAATATCCGATTATTTCGGGTTGGGTCATCGGGTACCCGAAATTCTAACATATAGTAATTAAGAAGGAAACAAAGAACCCAATTCATACAACGATGAATTTGCAAATTATAGAAGGGAAACAAGCATTTAAATGCAAAGTAAACCATGATTTAAATAAATAAAAAATTAAATATACCATAAATTCATAATACTCATAATTATTTCTTATTATATATACTACTATTCGTATTACAAATCAATCAACGAATGAAAAAAGTTAGAAACTGTGATATCTATATGACGTATGTGTCTAAATTCAGCCTCCCTCTTTTAGTCTTTACTCCATTTTTATATCAAATACCTGCTAGAATCTACCTTTTGCAATCACTTAGCAGTCTTGAATATTGAAGCTCAATATTTCTATCATTCATGGTGGTTATTGGTTGTCAAGGTTTTTAGATGTCGGCAAAGGAAAAGTTGCAGATCTTGAAATGCACAATTAATGGTGCAGATGCATATAGTGAATTCAAGAGGGTGGGGAGAAGAAGAGTGAGAGTATGGAGGAGGAGAGAGAAAGAGGAAGCAGAAGAAGCAATTGGTTTGAAACCACGAGCGGCTAAGAGACAGATATTGGCTGGCCATTAGTATAAAGATGTAAAACTCCAATAATAATTTTTAAAAACAGTTATGTGGGTTTTCAGGTACCCGTCAAACACAAACAACCGGCCCATGACCTTACCCATTGACTTGTCTTTTTTTCTGGTCGGGTATGCAATTTCATAAAAATTGATTTTTTTACCTGGTTTTTTTAGTCGGCTCAGCTGGTTCATCAGGTCGGGTATTTCGGGTCGGGTAATTTTAAACACCCCTAAGTATATCTATGAATTGACACAGTGTGGGTATTTATGCCAATTTACCAATATGACCTTAGAAGGCTTAGATATATAAAACTAAATATTATTAAAAAATATGCCTCCTCCGTTTTTTTTTAGTATTGCACTACTTGTCTTAGTGAGGAAATTTTATAAATATTGCACCATTTCCATTTTAGGAAAACAAAAATCTATGTTCACATTGCAAATACCTAATGTACCATAACATTTTAACACTTAATTTTTTAGTATGTTTACAATTACATGGGCAGTTTTGTTTTTTTTTACCTTTCTCTCTCTTCCTTTCACACTTTTTAAAAAAACAGAGGAAGTTAAAAAGTTATTGTGAAACTTTATAGGAAAAATTAAAACTAATAATCCCACCTTTTGCTTCATCTTCTCAAAACAATCCCACCTTTTCGGAAATCTCCATATGCTCAAATTGATCCCTCCAGTGGTTTGTAAAATTGATAACCGGTTTTAGAAGGTGACTTGCCACGCGTCACCTTCTAATTGGACTTATTTTTATTTTAAATAATTTTTTAAAAAATAAATAAACCAACCCCCTTCATCCCATGGTTCGAAGATGCGGTATCGGTCGTGATCGCGGAACGATTACGGTGACTTGGTAACGGGACTGATGCATTGGTCTCGGATCATATAACGGTTGTCGCGTACAAATTTATTTTATGTTTTATTTATAATATGATTTTTCAAATAATGTTTAGAAATCTTATGCTCTTTTACTCTAATATATAGCCCAAAAAATATTCTAAAATTATTAAAACTCCTAATCTGTAGTACACTACAGTAGTAGTGTAATTGAAAAAGGGTGAAAAATGAATGAGGATCACGTTGCAAGAGATAAAATGAAGAGGGAAGAGAAAGGGTGGTGGGTTCACTGCATTAGGCCAAAATTAAAGATAAAAAGAATTTCCAGTTGTCATAAGTTATACCACAACTACCTTATAATTTTTATTTTTTTTTTAAAATATAGAAGATATTTTAGACTTTTTGTCGACCTTTGTCAACCTTACCGAGAAATGATCGACTTTCATGGAAAAAATTAAAACCCTTGCTGAAAAGAGCTTAAAGTTTGGGTTTTTTTTTATCGGATCTTTGCCGGAATTGTTTGATGCGGCCGAGTTTTTGCTCAAAACGCCCGTATCGGCAAAATTGCGAAGTTTTAAAAATCTGCGTGACAACCGGGAAATCTCGTAACGACAACTTGGAAATCCGTTACATCTCGGCCGATTCGCGACATAACGGCGTTGGTAGAGTTTGTATACTATGCTTCCCCCCTTCCTGTACCCCCACTTGAAACAATCTCCCCTTGCCTACCAAAGCTGCCCCACCCTTTCCTTGCTGGAGCTTCCCCCACCCCTTCCCTTGCTAACCTTACTCCCTTTCCTCACTAGAGAACCATAAAGAAGATATTTGCTGCAAGAAAACAGAACGTGTGGCAACAGTTTTTTTTGTGAAGAACTTCACCCAATTTTCTCTCTCCTCTCCCCCCCCCCCCCCCCACTTTAATTTAACTCTTTCTTAACTTTTCCAAGTCAAATTGAGCTTTAATCAATGGTATAGTTTATTCTACAAGGGCGATTGAAGCTACTATTGAACAGTCAACTCAATGTAAGCTTAAATACAAGCTGTGGGGTGATTGGTTTTGTTGAATTTTGCCCGATTTTTCTGGTTAATTTCAACGAAAATAATGTTAGAAGAAATAGGTTGTCAAAAAAAAGTGGCAATAATTGCTTCTGCTTCAAAGTGTACTCTAAAAAATTTTGTAAATGGGAATGTTAATGGAATTTTAATGGTGAAAGTAGTGATTATAATGAAGATGAAGATGGCGATGATGATCTTTCTTGTCTCAGGGGTTTAGTTCATGTGGGGGTTTGGAGTTCGGTGAGGGGGGTGCGGTTTGGTGTTTTTGGTGGTGTCTAGGTCCGGTGAGGGGGGTCAGGGAGAGGAGGTGGAGTTTGGTGTTCGGGCTGGAGTCTGGTGGGGTTTTGGGGTTTGGTGAGGCGTGGGCCAAGTGGTGGTGCGGTGGTGGTTATAGCGGGGTTCCCATTGAAGGGGCTGGGAGGTGGAGGTAAGAGGAGAAAGATTTAAGAAAAAACAAAATAATTTTTTTTTTAAAAAAATATAACCTTTTAAACAAGATGTGGGTAAGAAGGATTGTTTTGAGCATATGAAGGTTAAAGGTGGGATTGTTTCTAGATTTTTTCGGAAAAATGGAATTGTTTTAAAAAGACGAGGCAAAGGTGAGATTATTAGTTTTAATTTTTCCAACTTTATATTAATACATATTTAAAATTATATTTCATGATAAAATTTATTTTTAATAAGTTACTAATAAGCTATGGTTACTTGGTTAGTATATCTGCAGTAAAAAAGTAGTAAAAATTTTGGAACGGAGGGAGCATATCGGGACTAATTTGGAAGATTCCTTCATATTGTGAAGAGTGTTAAAGATTCTAAACAAGGAGAACAAAAGATAACTAAGAGAGTACTTTGTCAATAGTTTTGTTTAAGGAGGCTACATTTGCTGGCATGCTTATGGAATCCGTATAGACAATGCAACTCTAGGTTTCAACATATTTTAGAGGCTTAACTGCTTAAGCATATACTCATGTCCGACCCCTATTCCACATTTATTGGAACACTTCTAAAAATGTAAAGGTCACTGCCCCTTTTATTTATTTATTTATTAATGTTACTTTTTCCTAGTAATGGACCTACTAAAATCTGGAGAACTCCAAGCCTAAATCAATGACAAAAATAAATCATCCATCTGCCTTCTTCCTCCTTTCACCAAAAAGTAAATGCACATGTTAAATGTTTTCAAATAATTGTAAATTATAGGTCACAACCACTCGATTTTTTTTTCCTTGTAACACATCTTATTTCATGCTTGCCGATGCATTATTTCAATCACTAATATATTTACTCTCCCCGTTTCGTAATAATCGCAATGGTAGGGAGTGCACATAGTTTAAGAAAAATATAGAGTAGGCTTGTAGGCTTCAACAAATTAGTGGGGTTGGTATGAGAGAGAAATAATAAAAAAGTAGTGTAAGTGGGTTTGATAGGAGAGAGAAATAGTAAAATATTTGTGAAGGTGGGGTTAGTATGGGTTATAATTAATAAAATAATAGTGGGTCCTTACCAAATAAGGAAGTGTTGCAATTATTATAAAACATACATAAATGGAAAGAGTTGCGATTATTATGAAACGGAGGGAGTAATTAATACCCAATATATTTCTTTCACAATATAAATACCCAATATACCCCTGCTTTTTAATACTTCTAGCTTCACTTTATACTTGCAATCAGTAGTGCAAGTTTGTACTTTTACCTCTATCTTCCTTTTTCCCACTACCTAAAATCTTGTGCACTTCCCCCATGTTGCAATATTAAAGGAGTAGAGGAATTATGCGGGATAAACTTTGTTCTTGCAAGATTTGAAGGGCTCTCTTCCTAATAGCATTTAGCAGATGATCACAAGCCACAAGTGATGCTTGGTTAAGCTAACTTCCTAATAGCATTTAGCAGATGATCACAAGCCACAAGTGATGATTGGTTAAGCTAACTAGATAGCAAAACTCATCAATGCAATAACAATTCAAAACTGATATATTTATTAATGTACACATCAGCCTTATGTAGGCATTATAGCCATGCCTATAAGAATCCTGATGCACTTAGGGAAAACTAAACAAATCAGCAAACCAAAGTAAGATTACTTGCCTAAGACTTAGTCAACACACCTAGCATGAATTTGTAAATAAAATCTAACTCCAACTAGTATTCTAATCCCACAAGGATTCTACAACAACAACAACAAAGCCTTAGTCTCAAAATGACCTACAAGGATTCTAATTACAAAAATAATCTAAAAGTAAAAAAAGTGCTAAAGTGCTTAAACCACAAAAGACCTATACCAGGTAGGATTTATAAACTGTGCAAACCAAATTTGACACAAACTCTAATTAAACTAGCATATGAAGACTCCTATTAGAAGTAGTAATCAACTTGGAACCATCCAGCAACCTGTGGGGCCTAAGTAACCCCAAATCTGCCACCTTTTAGCTTGCTTGACCTCCAAGAGATATTCAAGAAGGAAAAATTCATGTGTGGGACACGTCACCTTGATTCACATATCACAATGATTAAAGAGAAAGGAAAGGAATTATCAAGATCTTGATGGCTTTTTGGGAATGCTGGTTCTGCTAGATGGTTAGTTGGCATTTGGCACTATAACTTTCTTTTTTGGTTTTCCCCCACATTATGATATTGTATCTCAAGTAATCAGATTTAAATGCAAGGAAGAAGTCTTGGTCATCATGACTTCCCCTAAACAGGAGAAAAATAGACGGAGAAAGTGAAACTAACATTAAATAGGGAAAGCATAATGCTGTCTTGTTTTTCCCTTGCTATGTCATCTCCAACATTCCAGCACAATGTTGCCTTGTTTGATTTTGGGTACTATATGTGCAGTTGCAGTTTAGAATATCGATTCCTCATCTGTGCTGACCTAGATCTTTACTTTAAAGCTAATATGAAGTTAATCCACTTTGCCAAGAATATTACCCATTAAGTTTTTTTGTTTATAGCTGATCCTTTTGTTAAAACGCTTCTGTCATTTAATGAGTTTTTGGAGGGAAACTAAGCCGGTTTAGTTTTTTCAGTATTTTATTCATACTAAAACATTGAGTTGGTAAAACCTCTGTGCCGTTAACATGGTAATTATTTCTCAATTTTCGTCCAGTGACCTTGATTGCTTACTGTTTTTCTGCATGTTGTCAGCTTATTTGTGGACTCTCAATATTCTCTATTTCCTATATCTGTTTTGAGTTGTGGTTAAGTTGTAGCTTCTATATGAGTGGCTTATTAACAAATAAATATGAATTTGTGCTCATCATTATGTGTGTTAACAGTTCTTTTATTCTCTACAGATCTTGCTCGACGATCTGAAAGTGTCAGAACAGCTGCTTGATTTGGTGTTCTATTTACTCAGTTTCTGCTGTAAACAGGTTCTCTGCCTTCATTAACTCAATTAATTATGTTCATGAAAGTACTACATCACGGCCTAAATGCTGCAAGGAATCTCTTTATTGAACCATAATATCTTTTCCAAATTTTGATTTTGGATTATGTTCCTTAATAAGATTTGTGGTCTATGTCTGCTTATGCTATTAAGCATTTGGCGGCCCCATTTGAACAGCAGTAAAAATTTGTAATGTATATAATGAAAAGTAAAAATACACTTTAATAATCCCAAGTATGGCGATTTACTTCTAATAATCTCAACTAAGGTTTATTATCTAATTATCCTAACTATACTATGTGTTTGCTTCCCATGACCGGTAACCTGCTAAAAGAGTGTTTTTTTTTTTTTTTTTTTTTTTTTTTGGGTTTTAATAGCCAAGTGTCAACACGTGATTGGTCCAAAATTTTTTTAAAAAAAAAATAGATAAAAACATTAAAAAAAAACCCAAAATTTCTCGGCTGCCAAACCCTAACCCCTCCCCTTACCTCGTCGGAAAGGTTCCCGACCACCCCCTTAACCAACAAAAACCGGTCGGCCTGTCCTTTAGCACCCCACCTGACCTACCGCCGACCCCCTAAACCACCTACCCAGCTACCTCGGCCCAAAACCACCGACCCATCTCTCGAAATTAGGCGCCCTCTCCTTTCCTCCGCCGCCAAAATTGCCACTCCTCCCTTCCCCCACCCTTGAAATCGATTGTTTCGACGGTGGGGGAAGGGAGGAGGGGCGGTTTTGGCAACGAAGGAAGAGAGAGGGCACGAGGCTCGTGTTGGTCGTTTTTAGGGTCGTGGTGGCTGTGTGGGTGGTTTTGGGGGTCGAGGGTGGGTCAGGTAGGGTGGTAAAGGGCCGTCCGACCGATTTTTGGCGGTTAAGGGGGTGGCCGGCCGGTTTCCGGCGAGGTAAGGGGGGGGGGTTAGGGTTTGGCGGTGGGAAGGTGGCTGGGCAAATTCTTTGTTTTGTTTTTTTTTTTATTTTTTTTATTTATGTTTTTAATTTTTTTTTAATTTTTGGGCCAATCACGTGCTGACATGTGTCATGGTTACCTGGTATAATAGGTCGTTGACTTGGTGTTGACCAGTTGGGACCATTGGAGGCAAACACATAGCATAGTTAAGATTATTAGATAATAAACCTTAGTTGGGATTATTAGAAGTAAATTGCCCATAGTTGGGATTATTAAAGTGTATTTATCCTAATGAAAAAGAACTGAAGTATACTAGAAAGAAAATCCAAGTCAGTACGTCGCAGCCTTCTGCCTTCTTGTCACTCCTAGTAATAGTTTTTGCTCTTTGGTAGGGCCAAAGGTAACTTATAAGCCAGTGGAAACTTCCATTGACTTAATCTACGTTCCTTGCAAAAGCCTTCTCTTTCTCTCTGTTCCCCTTCCGGGCGTTATCTTTAATTGATCCCTCCACACCCCAGCCATGCTATTAATCACTTAGAGCATTCTAAAGCCACTGCCATGGGCTTGGTGACTTGGGTTTGTTAAATGGAAGAGGTGAAACATGGAAGATCTAATCAGTGTTCAAATTGGCAAGTTTGGGTAGTTTGGACTGTAAGTAGACAACTCAAAGTGATATTTCTATAATTCTTTGAAAACACTTTTGTGGGATAGCGGGAATATGCGTACTTGTTCCCATACTACATCTGGAATAAAATCATGTACTGTACTAGTGTACTACCATGTAAAGCTGATACTGCCTCCTCAAAGCTCCATAAACAGCATGTTTAAATCCTAGTCAAAAAAAGTAGTGGCTGCTTCTAACGCATGGTTGGCTGGGGACATGAGTGTGTTAGGCCATGGATATATGTTTGTCAGTCATCAATTTATGATATATCACCACCTTGTTGGTCCCTGGTCAATTGTATACCTCTTGTTAATCCATTTCTAATCTGGTTAGCTATTGATTCTTTAATTATTGTTGATGTTATGGAATAAGGAAGAGGAGGAAGCTATAAGTAGTAGATGTGATGAAGGAAATAGGAGAGCAAGATGGTATGATGGTTGCTGATGCTGCATAAAATTATGGAGTGATTGATTATGAAAGTTTCACCATATGGGGTATCAGGTGTACGGGGTTTCCTTTTATTTAAAACGGCATATTTGAAAATGAAATTAAAAAATGCAGCAGCTGACTGAAATTCTTAAATATTTTGCTAGCTAGATAAAATTTGGCAAAGCTTTTTCACCATATATCTCTATACTACTGACATGGCATATGCATGCCTGGACCTCAAATATAAAAAATACCTCCATGTACTAACTTTGGACCTAGGACACCATGTGAATGATGCAAAACCAAAGGGTATGTATAAGGCTGTAGGTGCTATTACCAAAATAAACCCATCAGGTACTAAAATAAATCCTTCCAAGGCTCCATCCTAAAAGAAATCTCAAATTTATGAAATTCCTCTTTTTCCATTTCTCTCTCACCCATTCAAGTATTTAATACCCGATTTTGAGCCATTGCTGCCCCCGTGATCTCCATCTCCTAAGTATATGTTTTTGCCTTTCTTACTAACCCACTATGCCATTAATGGGTTTTCGCTCTGCCAAAAAGTTGCCTGGTACATTGAGTCTTAAATCTGGTCATTTGGTTTTAATTTCAACTGTCAAGGGCTCTGTTTTGGAGCTTTAATTGTGAATTTCCACTACCTAGATTTCTAGAACAATGGTGGTACTATCTTTGAACTTTATGTTCTTTCCATTGTTTAGATAATGGGCCTAATGGCTGTGTTACAGAAGGCGGATTATTGGTGGTACTATCTTTGAACTATATGTTCATAAATATATTGAACTATGTTTCTCTGACGAGGATGCACATCAAGGTCCCAATACCATTGTATAATTTTCGGGTTGTAGTAGTTTCTGGAATCAGTTGGTGTACCAGGTGGGGTCTGTTCCTTTTTTGTTTTGTTTTTTTTTTTTTTAATTTTTTTTTTATTAATACATATTTTGGAATCATCTGTCTTTCAAAGTGGCTGCTGGTGTTGCTAGGTGGATTCAAGATAATGGTACTGATATGCAGGATTTGATGATTGTGATAGAGTGGTGGTGCTAGTTCTGGTGTGGCAAAGTTGGTGTTTCTAGTAATAGGGTTGGTGATGGTGGAGATTACTAGTGATATTGGTGTGGCCTCCCCTCCTACACCACTTTGGAACCACCTTCTGTTATCTAGTAATTATTGATTGGCTCATAGTGCTAATTAATCAATCAGTGCAATGCTGCATAACCACAGGGGTGTTGACTGAAATTTTGAATTAAGAACAGTTGTTTACTAGGAAGCAATTTTGAATTTCTGTATTTATATATTTATTATTCCCTCCGTTTCGTAATAATCGCAACACTAGGGTATGCACAAACTAAGAGTAAGGCAAAGGAAGTTGTTCGCCAAGTGAAAGAAAAGGCTTATCAGGAGTTTTATGAAAAGCTTGACTCCAAGGAGGGAGAAAAGATCATTTATAAGATGACGAAGAGAAGACAAGAGGCAAGGAAGGATATTGGAATGGTAAAGTGTGTCAAAGATAAGAACCAAGTTGTTCTTGTACAAGATGAGGACATCAAGGAGAGATGGAAGGGGTACTTTGATGAATTGTTTAATGGAAGTAATGGAGTGGTGACAGTCTGTGAGTGTTGAAGAAATCAACATGGAGTATGTGCGGAGGATTAGGAGAGTAGAGGTGGAGATTGCATTGAAGAAGATAAAGCCTAAGAAGGCGGTTGGCTCTGATGGTATACCGATAGAGGTGTGGAGGTGTTTGGGTAAGATTGGTATTGATTGGTTAACAAACCTCATTAACAAGATACGGAGAGCTACAAGGATCCCGCAAGATCGGAGGAAGAGCACTTTGGTCCCGGTCTATAAAAGCAAAGGAGATGCTCAAGATTGTTCTAACTATCGAGGGATCAAGCTTATGAGTCACACTATGAACTATGGAAGCAATCCATTTGATAAGACAAATGATGGAGTTTATAGGGTAAAGAAGAGCTACAAGGATCCCGCAAGATCGGAGGAAGAGCACTTTGGTCCCGGTCTATAAAAGCAAAGGAGATGCTCAAGATTATTCTAACTATCGAGGGATCAAGCTTATGAGTCACACTATGAACTATGGAAGCAATCCATTTGATAAGACAAATGATGGAGTTTATAAGGTAAAGAAGAGCTACAAGGATCCCGCAAGATCGGAGGAAGAGCACTTTGGTCCCGGTCTATATAAGCAAAGGAGATGCTCAAGATTGTTCTAACTATCGAGGGATCAAGCTTATGAGTCACACTATGAACTATGGAAGCAATCCATTTGATAAGACAAATGATGGAGTTTATAGGGTAAAGAAGAAGGGTTTTCATATGGTTTTTATTGATTTAGTGAAGGCATATGACAAGGTGCCAAGAGAGGTACTTTGGTGGGCAATGTTGAAGAAAGGTATCCCACGAAGGTACGTAGACCTGGTTAAGGATATGTATCGGGATATGTCAACCAATGTGAGGACATGTGGAGGGTTGACAAAAGATTTTCCTATTACAATTGGATTGCATCAAGGGTCTGCATTAAGCCCTTTCCTTTTTGTAACAGTCTTAGATGAATTAATTAGACCAATTCTAGATGAAGTCCCATGGTGTATGTAGTTTGCGGATGATATCGTTTTGGTGGATGAAACTAATGATGGAGTTAATGCCAAGTTGGAGAAATGGAGGCAACGGTTGGAATGTAGAGGGTAAGATAAGTCGGAGTAAGACCGAATATTTGGTATGTCGCTTTGGTACCCAGGGGGGTCAAGCAATAAGGTGGCGAGTTCATTAGCGAATGTTTTAAATATCTTGGTTCGATCATCCAAAAAAATGATGACATTGATCAAGACGTGGCCCATAGGATTAAGTCGGGGTGGCTTAATTGGAGAGCGACCACGGGAATGTTATGCGACCGAAGCATTCCCTTACAGTTGAAGCGCCATAAGCCCAGTGTTGCTCTTTGGTACAGAATGTTGGGCTTCTAAGAAGGAGCACATTAAAAAGATGGAGGTTACGAAGATTCGAATGTTAAGGTGGATGAGCGGGAACACTCTAAGAGATAGAATCAGAAATGAGGTGATTCGCAAGAAGTTAGGTGTGGCAGGCATTGCAGACAAACTAAGGGAAAAATCATTTGCGTTGGTTTGGGCATGTAAGACGGATACCTGAGGGTGCACCGGTACGAAGAGTGGAAGAGTGGGACCATGGAGGGGTTAAACGAGGGAAAGAGATACTGTAAAAGACTTGGTTGGAAGGAGATCCGAAGGATATGACGTATATGGATGTACATGAGGGTGAGGCATTGGATCGTAAGGGATGGAAGAGGAGGATCTTTGTTGATGATTACACGGAATAATCAAATTTGGTTCATGTAGCTGGCCCACTTATGGGATTAAGGCTTTGATTGATTGATTGATAGGGTATGCACAAAGTTTTAGGAAAATTATAGGGTGGGGACCATAAGTGGGTTTTATTATAATATAAAGTGTAGTTAGTATGAGATAGAAATAGCGTAAGTGGTGTTGATAAGATGATAGAATTAACAAAATTTGTGAAAGTGGGTTAGTAGGATAGAGAAATAATAAAATAATTGTGGGACCTTACCAAATAAGGAAGTGTTGTAATTATTATGAAACGGAGGTAGTAGAATATTCTATGATGCAACTGATATGTGAAATTGAAATTTTCTCTTGCATGATCTAGAAATACAGGTTTTCTGGTGCTATGCCACTTCTGTACTCGGCACTTGTAGCTTGCAGTATGTATCTACTCACTGCTTGCATTTCATCACAATGGAGTGAACTCGCTTATGTTCTCCAGGCACACCCTAAGGTATAATATCTTACTTAGTCTGTTTGTTGTTGTTAATCAATTCAAAGCTGATAATTTATCCCAGCTGTTATAACTTATATGTATTCCTCCTGGCATCAGCTCTGAACTAGTGGTTTACCATTTTGACATTTAGAATGGCTGAACAAGTCTTTCTTTGACAGGTTGACATATTCATAGATGCAGCCTTTGGAGCTGTCCGCATGAATATCAGCTTCCTTCAGATAAAGCTGTCAGCTGATGAGAATGAGTTTCACTCGAATTCTAGTCTAGGCGCTGAAAAGGCAATCAATTTCTGTTGCCAGCAATGTGAGGCTTCTTTGCAGTTTCTCCAGTCGTTATGCCAAAATAAGTCTTTCCGAGAACGCCTTCTCAGGAATAAGGTTTCCACAGTTTCTATATTTTTTTTATAAAGCATTTATTATCTATTATATTATTCTGTACTCTTCCAAGTATGCTTGGTGGCTGGCTTTTAAGATAGGAGAAGTAGACTGTTGACAAGTAGAACCACATCTAACAAGTACCATCTCTCATTATATTTGGCAAATATGTCTACACAAGAAACAAGGAGCTTTCCATTTGCATAACATTTTGTTTTCATTTTAAAGTAGCTATGGTCTTCTGTTTGAAGGCACATATGAGCTTCAGTATGTAGCTTACTAGCTTGCAAATTTCATGATTTTAGGTCTCATTATATTCCTGGTTGTTAGGGTTTGATTTGAATAGTTAATCCAGTAGTTAAAGAATATAAAAGGGAGAAAATATGATGCACATGTCTTATGGGGAAAACCTTCAGTACAATGGTTAACAGAAAGAGGTGCTATTAAGTCTAGTGATAGTGAATTAGTGATAAAGGATTATAATGTCTCTTTGTTTTAGTCTTGTGAATATAAATGTCTTTGTTTGATCCACGAGATATGGAGAGTATGTATTGCTTGAAGAAAAGGAGAAGATAGAATTCTGACTGATATTTCTTGTTGTTAGGAAATTGGTGGTTTGTAGCGTTTTTTGAGGCATCCCGACAATTATATACCTACTTTACGGCTCATGAACAAACTATCTATTATATTTATTTCTGATTAATGCGGAACAAGTCAATGAAAAATAAGAATTGAGAAAAAAGATAAATGGAGAAAACACAAGGATTTACATGTTTCGGTCAAGTTAGAGTATTAGACCTTCATGGGGGGGGGATTCGAGAGCTTTTTCACTATAATGGAAAAAGAACAATGAGAATATAAGGAGTATTAATTTTAATGGCCTTCTAGGGTATGTTCTATTGATCACCTAAAGGGTCCTTTTATAACATAAGAAAACTCCCAAGTATAACTCAAATAGCGGTCATAGAACAAATACAGTTTTAGGAAACGTTCCATAAAACATGCTAAGCTTCAAACCGGACCAAAAACACCTTACTCGATCAGGAAAAGCAAGTCTTTGCCCTTTCCAACCGTGCCCCTTTTTGGCACAGACTTGCACTTTGTCAGTAAATTCCAGCTTCGATAATTCTTCGTAAAACGGCTACAACTTTCTTGTTTCTTATCGGAATTGGGCACTTAATTTGTTGTTGGAAAGCTCTTGGAATAAGCTATCATCTCCTACTTAAATCACCTCAAGATCACTTATAGATTGAGTGATATCTACATTCGAAGTCAGCCTTTGCCATTTCACTAGATTTCAAGTCACAATTAACACTTGCTAAATGTCTGAGCTTCTTGAATCATCCTTATCAGGCTGATTAGATCTGAAAAGCAGTGTTAGGATAAAGCTTCTGATTAAGCAAAGGTCATATGGACACCAAAGAAAGAATTCTCGTGCTTGGCTTCTCTTGGAGTGGTATGTCAGCCACAGTTTTCATTGGGTGAAGGCTGTTAGGGGCTCCTTCCAGAATTAAGGTGGCACAAAACATGGTGGCTTGGGAGGATGACAAGGCTTATGGGACCCTTTTCTAAGTGAATTTTGTCTGTTAAGTGAATTAGATGCTGCTTGTTGGAGGATGAAGGAAAGCTGAAAAATCACAAAATTGGACTTTCATGATGATAATATACTTCGTAATTGTCATGGAAATCCCTGATCATATGTCCTCAAATCCTCTTGTAAGAAGATGGGGAGAGGGGATTTGCTCAGTTATAACTGATTGGTGGAACCCTGTTGGCAGATTTAAAGGATAAAGATCGTGGTTTGATTATTTAATTCGGTCAGCTTAATTTTATTGGCTTTGTATTGGCTGTATTACAAGGGTTTCCTTGTTCTATATTATCCTTGGAATATTAATGCACTCATATTTGTCAGTTTTACATAATAATTGAAATCTGACAATTTCTCGTTGTTTGTTCATGATTCTAAAACAAACTTATTATGGAATGGATGGAGTAGCTTTGGGTCATGGGTCAAATCCAATGGGATATGTCAATTTGCTACCATGAAAAAATTTAATAGACAAGCTGCATGAAAGGCAGTTGCAAAAATTGGCCAGCACTCAGCTTAGGCGATATATCAGGGTAGAAAGAACAACAAAACCAAAGCTTTAATTTCAAAAGGATGAGGTCAGCTGTAATATCTATACTTTCTTTAATTAAATGCATTAAGTATGCTGACAATATACCATTCTTAGCTTATAAGGCAAATGAAGCGTATCTGGCTAGGGGTGACATTCTCCATGTAGTTCTGCACCTTCAATATAAATCACCGAGCCCTGGCTTCTTTCTTGTTTTGATAGTTAAGAACGTGGCTATCAGCATGCTAAACTTGTCTCTCCAGTATTTCCATTGTTATTTTCTCTTATGAAATGATTAGAGCTATATTTCTGGAGACTGAAGGAAGATTTTATCTTTGGTGGGGCTTGTCTTGCTAATGACTTAATTGAAGACCTGAAGTTGAGGGAGGTTTGATTTGAAGTGCTTTACTCCATAAATGCATCTCTTTGGTAAGGACTACAGAAGTGGCAGTGGCAGTGGCTGTTCTGGTCAGAGGCTTATCCTTTGTGTCCGTGAATTATCAAGAGATGGCATGGACTTCAGTTAATTATTAGAATGCTTCAATGCATTCACTCCTATAGTCCTATTCTATGATATGAAAGGTTGCCTTTGCGGCTCCAGGTTTTGCTCCTCAGAGTGCCTTGCGCCATTTGAATCTAAGATACTAGAGACTCTAAGGTCTTGAAGTAGTTTAAGGCCTTGATTTGGGTTACTTGTTTTAACAAGCTCAACACTGATGATAAGCTGTAGATTCGGCAACTAAAGGTGTGTGCTCCTTGTCATTAGCAAAGGGGACTATTTATCATCTTATGTTTAACCATGAGGCTTTGGGATTTCACTGGATCGATTTTTTTAGGGTGATGGAGAATCTACTGGTTTATTTAGTTCCTATCATGTGCCATGGTTGCGGAGGCATGACCAAACATTTAAATGTAAATGACTAAATGTTAGTTGGGATCTGTGCTATAGCTTTGTGTGTCTAGCTTCTCTTTGTTGTCGCATTGGGTGTTTTTCCTGGGTTGTTAAATTTTCCAAAGACAGCATGATATTTTCCAGTGGTCTTCTCTATTGTACTTTTTTGTCAAGGTATCCAGGGAGCTTTGACTGTGACGAAATTTTATGTTATGACATTTAAATATGAAAGGGAGGTATAAGGAAGCTATGGTCATGCTGCTGGTTGCTGTAAAATCTAGAAGGATAAGACATCAGTTTATAAAAATAAGTGAATGAAAAAAGAAAGAAATCTTGTACCTTAGTGGCATATGTAATCCTTGTTATTGTTTGAAGTGGTTTTCTTGCAGATATGTAATATTATTATTATTTTTGGACCAGCATGATTTAATCTGTCTTACAAAGTTATGTATTGTGTATCAATGTAGGAGTGGTGTGGGAAGGGAGGAGTCCTTCGTCTTGTTCAAGCTACCTTGAAATTGAATATCTCACCATTTCTCAAGGAGCCTCTTGCAGTGGTAGCTTCTGTTTCTAGGCTAAAAGCTCGAGTTCTATCAATTGTAAGTCAAAAAACTCAAAAGGTGTAGATTTCTCTAAGTGATCCTCTAGAATTGTATTTACTATTGTACTTCAGTTGGTTCAGTATCTGTAGTTTGGCTGAAAATGGTAACCAGTGAACTTCAGAATTGCAATTGCTAAGAGGGCTACTAATTGACTTAAGAAGTACTGGCATTTTGCAGCTGCTGCATCTTTGTGAATCAGAAAGTGTGTCTTATCTGGATGAGGTTGCCAGCATTCCAGAGAGCCTGGAGCTTGCAAAGTGTGTTGCTGTAGAGGTAAGCTTAATAGAACAATTCTGTATTCTATAAGATCTTATAGGAGGAAAAGCATACGTTCTTCATATATATTCACTCCCTTTTATAAGATGGTCATCATACAGGTATTGCCATCACCGCTTTCTTTCTCAACTAAAAATAATTAAATAAATAAATAAATAAAAGAAAAGAAATGAATGTTTATTGGTGAAATGTTCGCTAGTGGATTCAACCAACCTCCCTTTTACTGAGAACATTTTCCTACTATTTCTTGAGGAGCTTCTTATTTAATAGAAAGAAGTCCAAAATGATATATATTTATATGTTGCATCTTTTACTTTTTATAAGCATCGTTATGTGTCCCATTTTTCGGTAATTAAAGAGATTTTTTCTTGAACTTAACAGAATTTGAGTATCACCTTCTTCTCCATTGCTGTATATTATGGAACTTTAACCTAGTTGAACGTAACAGAATTTGAGTATCACCTTCTCCATTGCTGTATATTATGGAACTTTAACCTAGGATTCAGATTGGTCATTAATTGACAATAATTAAAGTGATGCAAAAGCTGGTGAAATTGTGAGAATATCTGATATATTTATTTGCCTATGGGTTGAGATAGTTGTTTGTTTCTAGATTCTTACTCTAGTTTGGGCTTCATTGACAGGCTTTTACTTCGTTTATAGCATGTGAAATGAAAAATGATTCATTCTCTCTATAAAAAATAGGAGATATAGATTATAGTTTTTTCATATTATCATTTTTATTTCTGATTCATTATTTTATAACAATTTGCATTAGTCACATATGCCTTTCAGAACCAAGGGTCTACTAGGTATTTCACTAATGATCCATGTATTGATCTAGGTTATTACATTACTGAAGACCATGTTTAGCAGAGATCTTAAACGACTGGTAAATCACTCGGGTAAAACATACCCAAGGGGGCTTTTGCAGCTCAATGCATTGCGCCTGACAGATATCTTCTCTGATGATTCAAATTTTCGTTCCTACATTACAACATATTTCGTGAGCTCTCTTGCAATGCCTTGTTGTTTTATTAATTCTTCAATAATGCACTTATCACATGGTATCCCTGTACCCTTGGTCATTTTCAGTTGATATTTGGCATGTCTGTACACGGTTATTTGCAGAATTAGGGGCCCCACATTTGCCATATAACATGTTTCAAAACTATTATACTTTTATGTTAATTGTCTTATAAATCACTTTGTATTTATATATTCCATTTGATGCCTAATTTTCTCTATTCGCGTCATGCACATCATTTTATTATCATTTCTTTTTTAAAAGTTCCATACTTATTGCATAGGCTTTCCATGTTTGTCCAGGCTGAAGTGCTGGCAGTGATCTTGTCAATTCCCTACCAACAGTTTTTGGCTGGTTGGTGTTCATCTGACTTACCTCTAAAGGAAGAAGATGCTTCACTGGAATACGAGCCATTTGTTATGGTTGGGTGGATTTTGGACTCGTCTTCAATGCTAGATACGATAAATGTAAATGCATATGAATCTAACTTTATTCCAACCAACAATGCCCAAGCGTCTTATGCCCATCAACGAACTTCTCTATTGGTTAAAGTGATTTCCAATCTTCATTGTTTTGTGCCTAAAATTTGCAAAGGTCAATTTTCTTAGTCTGATTCTTGTTTTCATGTGCATCAAAAGCATTCTTACTATTATCTGCTGTTAACAATCTAGCTTTCACTCTAAATTACAGAGCAGGAGAGGAATTTGTTTCTTCACAAGTTTCTTGAACGTCTGAAGCTGGATTGGCACGATCCACAGGCTGGATCTACATTCAGCTCTGCTCCTCAAAAAGCTGCTACTATATGCAAGAATCTTCGTAACTATAATTCCCTGACCACCTCTTTCAGATTTGATATAAAAACTTCTGCATAATTTATGAGTGCCTGGTATAATTTGTGTAGGTTCATTATTGGGTCATGCAGAATCCTTAATCCCCACTTTTCTTAATGAGGAGGATGTACAACTATTAAGGTAATTTGGCGTCTTACATGCAGTGTGCTCTTTAAGCTTGTATGATTTCTGCTTTATGATTTTTTTTTTTTTATATTGATAAAATTGTAAATTTTGAATCGGAGGCTTTTATTTTGGAACGGAGGGAGTATATACATATGAATAGTAACGTGCTTAAGTCAAACTTGATTGTAACTTATATAGAGTACTACGTACAATCATACATGTATTGCTTTAATGTTATTTTGCTTTAATTTCTTTTCATATTAGTTTTACAAGTATTGAATGATAAGTATAATAATCATATGAGGCTAGTATACTTACATGTATTTGTATTTTATTATTTTTATATTCTAAACTATTTACAAATTTAAATATGTTTTAATGTTTTTTTATTCAGCATGTATATTTTATATATATATATATATATATATAATTCTTTTTTTTTTTATTGAAATAAGAATTGCTACAATTAATTTATTTAATTGTATCATTAATAGATCTTGTTTGAAAGTACTTTACAAGCTGAATTTTTATGATGTAAAAGTTACAAATTTACTAGTATAGAACTTGTGTTGAAAAAAAATATAAATATTTTATGCATATGAAATTTTTAAAGTTTATCCAAAATTAAACCTCAAAATAACATATTCATCTTGAAAAAATGTGTTTGAATATTGCTTACACATTATGTGTGGCATGCTTATGCTTAGCTGAGCTTAAGACTTAATAGTTGGCAAAGTGTTGGAATGCCAAGTATCAGTCTTGTAGCATTGGTTGAGAACTCAGCTTTATATGTAATGTTATATGATATGATATATTAGATTATGTATATTTTATATCCTCATACGGGATTAGATGGAAAAAGTTGTATATGAAGGCAAAAACAAGTCAACAAAGTACCTTCTTTACCTACTTTTATTTGGTGGTTAATTTTCAGTGCTTATTGCTAGGAGAAGATAACTTGAAATGAATAAATAAATAGTAAATTTTTCAGCAAAAAACTTTTAAAAATATCATCGAAAAAAAAAACCTTGTAAAAATAATTTGGCAAACAAGAACCACCAACTTACTTTTTCTTCCAGCATTGACTCACATTTACCGGCATTGACTTCTTATTTTTCTCTCTCCTCCATCACCGCCACCACTATCTCTCCTCCCTTCCACTACCACCACCACCACAATTTCTCATCTCCCTTCAATTTTCTCTCCTTTCAACAAAAATTTACCACCACCGTCTTATATCCTATCCCCCTGCTTTACCCCACTATAGTTGCTTTCTCCTCCTGTCGCCATTTGTCTTATCGTACCTTGCCTCACTGCAATTTCTCTTTACTCTCCATTCAATTAGTTGACCATTATAATGGTCAAATTTAAGTGGGGGTTTAAGATCGAAACCCTTTTGACCATATTAGGGTCGGTTTCCATCGTTGGCACGTGGCGTTGTTTAGTTCATGTTGGTTTTTGTAGTTCATATGGTAGGTTGGCTTTGATGATGAGACCAATGTCGAAGAGAGGCAGCTTTGTAGGTGGTGGTGGGTCTGTTGTTAAAGAAAGGAGAGAAAATTGAAGGGAGGAGATGAGAAATTTTGGTGGTGGTGGTGGTGGGACGGAGGAGAGAGAATAATGGTGGCTGTGGTTGGAGGATAGTGAATAGTTGTGGCAGTAAGGGAGGGGAGAGAAAAGTAAGAAGGCTATGCCGGAACACGTGTCAACACCGGTAAGTAGTTGAGCTTTCATCTAGCAAAAATGCTAGAAAATTTTTAAAAGGTTTTTTTTTTTTTTTTTTCCTTCACAAAATGGTGCTTTAAAAAGGGTTTTTCTAACAAATTTTCCAAATAAATATCACCTCCATTTCAGAATTATGTGTGAATTTTTTTTATTGCATACCCAATTAAGTGGACAAAGTGGTGAAATCTGACACAATTTTCATCTGATTAGAAAGGGTGTGTGTACAACAAAGTTACACATGTGAGGTAAATTCACCCAATAAAATACTTCCTCTGTTCTTTTTTACTTGACCTATTTCTTTTATCATGCTTGCCAATGCAAAACTTTAGCGATCAATAACTTTAATTCTCCATAAGTAAAAATTATAGAAGTTGTATATTATGATAGTACTTATTAAGACAAATTAAAAAAGATCCCACATGAATATATTTTTCCTTACATATCATTCACAAAAGACAGTCAAAGGAGGGGTAATGAATAGTGTAAAAGTCAAAGTGGGTCAAGTAAAAAAGAACGGAGGAAGTATTATTGAAGGAAATGATGCATAAATTGTGAAACATTCCAAGTTGCACATATTTTAAAGAAGAGGCACTATACATATTAAAAAAAAAATAATAAATAAATAAAATAAAAAAAACCCAGCAAATTTGCTGTATGAAGTCAAGTCTCGAGGCACCTTGCTTTGGGCTTGGTTCTTAGGGTTAACTGTTATATAGTGCACTAGTATTTGCTCCTTGTGCTTCCATTGTCTTAATCAATGTTCCCGATGTACTTTTAAACAAATTTTCAACCTGGATGATCTATGTGAATTTTTTTCTCATGCACTGTTTTGGCTATCTTTAGTCAAATATGCCAATGTGGAGATGAATCTTAGCTTATAGCAAAGTCATAAACCATGAAGACATTATGTTAAATAAATTATAAATTCCCTTTTTTTTTTTTTTTTTTTTTTTTTTGGTTTCTGTTGCAGGCTATTTTTCACCCAATTGCAGTCACTTATTGGCCCGGTTGATTATGAAGTCAATAGAGGACTGGTAAATGTGTATCTTTGACATGAAATGGAACTGTTTGCAAACTTGACCTACCTATCTTTGGCTGCATAATTATTGACAACTGTTATAATTGTCGTTAGGAACTTCAAAATTCAAGAGGCTGTACAGCTTCTCTTCAAGGAAATGTTGATTTTGATCATAAGACCAGACACTCTAACCTGAGAGAAGGTATGTCAGAAAATTCAGCTTTTCCAGGAGTGGAAAATTCTTGCATTAATGTCGAGGCTACTGCTGAAGCTGATGGTGCAATGCATGATCAGAAGACGTGTGAAGGTAAATCTATCAAAGCTTTAGCTGAGTGTATAGTCGAGACCAAAAAGGAGATTCATAATGAAGAGACAAGTGGATCAGATTCAAGCACTACAAGAGGACAGAACCCCAATGATAAAGTTGGTGATGGTGAAAATACTATGCCAAATGAGCATTTCCAAAGAAGTAAAGTTGGAGGTGTTCAACAAGATGAAAGGGTTGAAAGTGTATATGGCGAAGAAAGGCAAGTAAGGAAACGTAAGAGACATATAATGAACGATAAACAAATATCGTTAATTGAAAGGTGGCTGCAGGATGAACCTGATATCCATAAGAACATAGTTTCTTTAAACACATGCGCTGACAGATTAAGTATATATGTAAGAGAATTCAAGCTATGTTGTTTTTGGTAATTATTTGACGTTATTATGCGCTGATAGATGGTTTTTATATGTGATTCTTATCTGTGGTCCTTGCAGGGTTCAGAAGTAACATCTTCACAACTAAAAAATTGGTGAGCCAACTTTCCCTTTTTCCTGGTGTATATACATTATTGACTACATTATTTGTTTGTGTTGCTTATTGAGCATTAGAGATGTCTGTTTTTTCTTCAGTTTTTTATCCTGCGTTGTTCAGCTAGTTTATTAAGATGCTTCCATTCCTTAACTAGCCTGTCCCCACTTTTAATATTCTGTGCATGCTTAATTGCTGCTTAGGCTATGCTTAGTTCAGCTTATTTTTGCTTATCTAATCTGGTCTGAACTTATTTTTTTCTGATTTGTTCTAGATTTGAACGTAAAAGATAATATATATAATGTGTTCTATGTATCCTTACCTGATAAAACCTTGATAGACTATATTTTAAGAGAGCAATGCTTTTCATTGATGTCTAAGCTTTGCATTTCTTGGTTAAGAAAGGTGTAATCTCCGTTAGAGAAGCCGAGGTTTGTGTAGATATGCCATATGGAGGATACTTTCAATTGTCTACTCTGTTTTAGACTTTGAAAGTGCTTCTAAACCCATGGATACCTTCTTTTGGATTTCTTCAGTCAGGACCTAATTATACAATTAGAATGTAAACCTTTTTTTTTTCTTTTGCTTGGCCCTTCCCTTCCCCAAAAAATAATAAAACATCAATCAAGAAATTGTGATTGATGATTTGTGATTTTTTCTGCTCAAAATCAAGAAATCCAATCACATACTAGGTAAGATTAACCACACCAATATTCAGCCTAAAAGTCAAATAAGTTAAATAGCTAGAAGTAAATTTGGGTCTGAATTTTCTTATAGAATATTAAGCAATTATATTACTCACTCTGCTCTTGAAAGTTCAACTCACTTTCCATTTGTGCGGTCTTCAATGTGCATCTTTAACCATAAATATCTTAGGGTACTTATAATTTAATATTTATTAAGGTGGTGTTTCTTGTAAACAGGTTGAACAACAGGAGAGCAAAGCTTGCACGAGCAGCCAAGGATGGTAACCCATTATCTGAGGAGAATGTTATAGCTGACACACAAGTGGGGCCCCTTGTGCAGACAACTTCAGATTCTCCTGAGAGTCGTATGGAGGATCTGCCTGCTTCTGCTGCAGTTAATGACCTCAGTCAAGTATCGACAGTTCAGAGAACCAGTTCAGGGATAAATATGAACCCTAGTCTTGGGACTGCCCACCCTGAAAGTTCAAGCAGATTAGGCATCCAAAATGAAGGTCTGGCTACAGATACGAGTTGTGTAAACTTTGAGGCAGGTCAAGCTGTTATACTTACTGATACACTAGGGAAAGAAATTGCGAAAGGAACTGTATATCAGGTAGAAGGTGAATGGCATGGCTGCAATCTGTCAGATACTAGAACTTGTGTTGTAGATATTACAAAACTTAGGTCTGAGAGGATTGTAAGGCTTCCCCACCCATCTGTTGAAGCTGGAGCCACATTTGAACAAGCTGAAGTCAAGATTGGGACCATGAGAGTGCTATGGGATTCTGGTCGAATGCTCAAGCCGTAGTTTAGAAAGGGGAGATGTCTAGGTGGTTGTTTAAGTAGAAGTAGCTGGTAATGCTGATCCAAGACAAAGCAGGGCCACAAATTTGGCTGAAACAAACTAACAGGATTAGGTGGGTGCTCTTTTTAAAAGTTGAGCGCCATTTCTTGTATAGTATCTTTTATTGGAAAGTTGTGCTCTTACCAATGTCATTTGTAAATGACTAATGTCTAATGATATCCAAGACTAATTATCATGTATGCTTCTGACCCTGTTGTACAGCTCCTCCATCTTATACCTGTGACCATTACCATTTTTACCGTAAATTTGTCCAGTCAAATAATGTCTTAGGAAAGAGCACTCTTTTATGGTGTCTAAATCTTTCATTAAGATAATTCCATAATTCTTTGGGATCTTCTACCATATGTATTGTAAATGATGCCTCAATAACACTAAGGCTTTTACCTGTTCTTGTTTTAAAGCGGGTTTTACAACCATCATTGCAGAGTGGTAGTATCGGTTGTTTGACTAGAGGGACTTTTATTATCTTTAACAGTATGCTCTAACTAGGGTTAAACTAATGCGGTTTAAAACCAAATCGCAAACCGAACCGAATTAAAAATGCGGTGCAGTTTTTTCCTAATATGGTTCGGTGCAGTTTGAGAAAACAATATTTGCAGTTTGGTTTCGGTTTCAAGATACAAAAAAATTGAAAACTGAAATAGAAACTGTAATACAACCCATATCCAAATTTTAGCCTAGTCCAATTTTGATGTCTAGCCTACATATATAAAGCCAAAGAAAAAAAAAAAACCTAATCTTTTACCCCTTTTGTGTCTCTCTACTCTCTCACTTCCTCTTACTTACTCACTCTTGTACCCCACTCTCACTCCTCCGTCCATTGTCCTTCAGTCGGTGTCCTCCATCCTACGTACGACGTCGACCCTTGGATACTCCTTTGACTATCCGACTCTCTCAAATCTAAAGGTATTCAATCTTTACTCATGTCTCTTTAATTCGAATTAAATTCAAGTTTTATTGTAAATTTTGCTACTTAACAGAAAATATGCTAAGAAGGTAATATATAAGAACATTTAATCATGTTATTTATTTTCATAAACGTATAATTATTCAACATGGTTATTTTTTAATGCTGGACTTGAAGGATATGGCTATTGGTGATGCTGATATTGATGAAATGATCGAAATTATTGACTGATGATGATATTCTTTACTTTATACTTGTTCTGCTAGACTGCTGCTACTGTTTTGGTGTTATGTTGATGTTATTTTGGTGTTATTTTACTGTTGTTTTGATGTTCTGCTACCACTCTTTGGATAAAATTCGATGTGGTTCAGTTTTATTTTGAAAAATCGAATTTTATACAGTGCGGTTTGGTTCTATGTCAATAGTAATATGGTACGGTGTGGTTTGATAAATCCCAAAATCGAATTAATGTGGTTTAGTTTCGGTTTGGGGTATAAACCGCACTGCAAACCGAACTTTCACCCCTAGGCCTCTAACTTTTGAGCTTTCAAATTCATCATTGCATATTTGCATCTACTTTTCATTCCAAAAATTCCTTTCTGGATAAATGTAGGATGATGAACTGTCTTTCATAAGGTCTTACATGATAATTAGTTTTTAATCACAAATCATATGTACCACACATATGTTTAACTCTTCTGTATTTATTATTAAGTTAATCAATCAAGTGATAAATAAAATATTTAATATAATAATAATAATAAACCATAAATAATATAATTCTTTTCTTCCCCTTGGTTTGTTATTATGAGTAAATATATAATTAGGCAAAAATGAATCATGTTACTTGTAAAAATAGCAAAATGACAACAACAACAACAATAATACAACAATTATAATAATGACAATAATATTATACAGTGATGATTAATAACAATAATACAAAAGCAAACTTTTAATCTACCGAAATGACAAAAATAAACAAGGTTCACTTGTGTATAATGACAAAAATTAATATTGCTAATAACAAAACTATGAGCGCCATAATTAGAAGGAAATATTGTTATATTTTCCTTAAATCTTCCTCAAATGTGAAGGTGTGGGTGTTTTGGTTGCCGACGACGAGAAACATACTGATCGGGGAAGAAGAGGTGAAAACTTTTGGGTGATTTTTGGATAAAAGTGGGAAGGGATAAAAAAATTTGTGGTGAAAGCGGGTGCAAAATCCACCTTTTATAGAGGTAGGTTTATCTGTAACTATTTTGTACAACGGTAAAAATATCATATGATAGTCTAATGTACTGGAAAAATTGTAATCCCCCGTATTTTTGAATAAATTATAGGGAAATTCTCAATGGTAACTGTTTAGGGTAAAAATACCCTTGACATGTGGGCCAATGCCACTGCGACACGTGTCCCTAAGCTCAGCACTCAGCGAGCCAATCAGAGCATGACACTTGTCACTCAATGATAAAAGGGTAAAAACGGGCTTTAAGCCCATAACCCTAGAAACCATAAAACGGTGGGAAATTTACTTAGGTTAAATAACCTAAAAGGCACATGTCCCAATGCACTAAAAACACTGATCATTTACATTAGTTGAGATACAAACAATATCCAAGTGCAATGACTCCTAAAAGCACTCTCCCTTCTCTCTACTTTCTCTCTCTAAAATATCTTTTTCCGGTCACTGACTTGATCGTCGGAGGCGAATCTCCGACACACCGAAGGTTATTTGTTTTTCAAGTGACCAGACCGTTCGAGTGTTGCATTGCAGATCTGTCTCTCGCGGGAAGTACACACTCCCCTCTTGGGTACGTACAAAAAACCCCAAAACAGTAAACATGTAGGTTTGCACATTCTCAATGGTAACAAAATATTTTGCAAATTCTCTTAAATAGCATTAGTTTTTTATTAATTTCCCAAATATAACAATATTTTTACAATTAGAAACTAATTAGCTTAATTAAAAAATACTTTACCTAATAATTAACAAAAAAAAACCGCTCGCTGGCAACACTTATTAGGTTAATTATTGTATAATTAAGTTAATTAGTTGTTAAATGCAAAAATATTGTCATGCTAGGGAAATTAATCAAAAGTAATGTTATTTTGGAGAATTTATAAAAAAATTTGTTACCATTGAGAATGTGCAATTTTTCATTGCTACCAATATGAATTTCCCTAAATTATAATTACATTTATTTATTATGTATACAAATATTTATGTAAAAATTAAATATTTGTATAAATAATAAATTATTTTATGTAAAATTTAATTGAACTTTATTAAGTGAATAAGCACTATTTTAATTTAAAATTTTCTTCCTATTTACTAACCATATTTTGACAATAGTGTTAGTAGTCCAAGTTTAAGTGAAATGAGCCTATTTTCATCAAACCCATCATATTGTGGCACAAAATAAAATTCCTAATCCTAATAGAACAAGGAAAAAGAGCTTAAACACCTAAGCCTATATTTTTATAAAACCCTTAAACCACCCCCTCTTAATTTCCCTCACAAAAGAACTACTACTATACTGCACTCCTTATTTTCTTTCCCCTCTCACGCATTCAACCAGCGAACAAAAATAAAAATAAAAATTGAAGCCTTACTGCACACCTGCCACCATAGCCACCACCGCCCAAAACACCTCCGCGACCACCTACGCTGCCCCTAAACCGTCGCACGATCCATTTACCGAGAGGACTAATAGAAGGTGAATCTAGTTGGTAAAGTGACATACCAATTCGTTTACTCAAGGTACGTACAGGGCGAATTGACTTTAGGAGTATGTTTAAGGATATAAAATACTTAGAATCATGTTAGGGAACTTGTGGTTGATTGAAATTGTTTGGTAGCAAATTTTAGTGGTGATTAATGTGTGGTTAGTCTTGATTGTGTATGTAGTCGTGTGGAAGTTATATGTGTGTTGATTTATCTTGTTAGTATTATTTATGCATTAACTTGCAAGATGAACTTGGAGGCAAAGGTACGCTAATATGTGGATCGAGTTATTGTATAATACAGGAAAGTTTTAATACTCATTCATGATTGTTAAAATAGAATGAGTAAAGGGAGAATTAAAGTCTTATATGACGAGGTTGAGGATTTGAGGTGCCTTATGCACTTAAGGTGTTTTTACACTGAGGTAGTTTCAAGGATTTAACACTAAATGTTGTTTGTTACTAATTATTTAAGAATTAAATTGGAAATGTGAATTATTTAAATGAGTAATGTTTGATTGTTGTGTTGTTTTTGTATATGAGTCATTATCGAGTTTAAATCTGTAAATCACGTAAAGTGCAAGATGGATGAGCAATAAAACTCTAGATTTGTGTACGTTGAGAGTATTGACAAACACAGGTTGGGGTTCACGAGGTATTAGCCGTGCACTTTTCTAGAGGTCATCTGATTTACGAGTCTCTTGTTTTCAAATTCTTTTTAATACTTTAAGGAGCTAGATGCGATCTCGTACTAGCTATGGCCACGGAGTTGTGCATGTTTGCCATCTGAATGTTTATTGATGTTTCCAAAAAGAGGCATAGGGTTTTTATTTAATTGATGTTCCTAATTGGAGTATGGGAGAGACAACCTTGTCTATTGTTTAATCTAACAAAATAAAATGAAGTAATTAGAGCTCATTAGAGGAGTCATAGCGATGTTAATGAGTTGAGTCAAGTGGTTGAATTAAAAATGAATGGTTGTATATTGTTTAAGTTAGTAGCAGCATGCTAGGAATTCTATTATGATGTTTCATAGCTTGTATGTACTCAACGTTGCTGATTGCGTGCTGTTGTGTGTGTGTGTTTTCTTGGTCATGGCCTCGGCTTTCAATGACCCTGTGAATCCAATTTTTACACTTGTAAGTTTGGTGAGCAGATTTATTACAGGCGTTTGCATAATTTGGACTTGCATCAAGGTGGTGGGATTTGAGTGGAGAGTTGGTTACTACTCGTAGTTTATTTTCATGAATATTTAACTTTCTTAAACCTTAGTTTGATTTAATTATTATTTCGTTAGTTGGGTTTTAAATAAGGGCCTTGATGGTTCCTACTTGTAAGATTTAATTTGGTTTTGCATATTGGTTTTGAAACTTAATTTTATTTGGAGTTAGTTTTCCGCTGCCAAATTCTGATTATTTTTCTTAGCATTTTAACACGTGGCGGTAGCGCATCGATAATTTTCCAATATTTTATTAAAGCTATTTACAGGAAAAAGAGAGAATTATTGGGGTGTTACAAAGTGAAATCACGCAATTTCTATTGTACTCCTGGAATACGATGCTCTTTGTACTCTAGGTTCTTATCGTATCATATTATTTTAAGATGTGTATTATATTATTTGAAGATGTATTTCATGTTATTTTACTACACAATAATGTTATTGCATAATTTTCTTCATTGTATTTCATATTATGGATGTTGCTTTATTTAGTGCATTATGCTATTTAATATGATCAAACTCTAGGTTATTATGTAGAAAACTTTTGTTATTCACAAATTTTG